CTCTCTCTCTCTCTCTCGTCTCTCGCTCTCTCTCTGTCTGATCGCAGAGGGTTTAGAACTTATACCAGGTTCTGGTTAAGGGTGTTTATAGGGCTTAGACAGTTTCCAACTCTAGAGATTTTGAATGGGACAGTTTTGGGTTTATAATGCTAGAGGCTGATACCCTACCCCTTCTGCTGGGCGCATACTTTTTAAGATAACAGATCCTAACCATAAAACTAGGTATCCTAAAAAGGGGTAGGGTATGAGCCTCTAGGGGTTAACCAGTGGCAACCGGCGACAACCCAAACCCCTGCACCCCAAAGCCAGGACAAGCTGCCCGAAGACTTGAACAAATCTGCTCTATATGTCCTTCTGAAATCGTATTAGCCCTCTGGAACATGACTGCATGCATTGCATTGTACAACCCGAAAAGCACCCCTTCCGACCCGAGGTTGATTACTTAAAGCCCCTTTGAGGTTAATCCTAAATCTAGAACGGAAGCCTATATAACCCCAAAAGGTGCCCAAACACCAAACCTTTCCAAGCCGGGGCTGGTGCCAACTCCTTTGGCTGGTATACCCTAGAAACACTATAGACTCCAGAACCTTCTGGCCGATAATCTTCCGGCAACTCTAAACACTGGACTCATTCACTGGACCCCACAACCCTAATACAACCTGAACCCAAGCCCTCACTTATACAAGGATAAGTTCGATTTACCTGCAAGCTGCCCTGAACCCTAAACCTCGCAACTATACACGGCCTAAACTCCAAGCCCACTCGCTTTCAAGCCCAGGCTGGTGACTGACGACTCCTTCGGTCTTCTCCTTCGAAGCCGCTGGCCGCACCTTTGGCTACCCTAACCCTAAACCCCAAACCCCCTTAAGCTCTAGATCCCTTTTAAGCCCAGATCGGCCACAACATCTTCGCTAAGGCCAACCACACAAATGGACCCTGACTCTCAACACTGAACCATTCCAAGCCAAAACTAACTAGAAGTCCTTGGACCCCCACCCCTAGAATATACACATATATATATATATAGAAATACCTTCCTTTCCGAGGTTGACCTACCCGGTGGGTTACATGCAACGTCCTTGCTATAACCCTGAGCCTCTACACATAGACGGAGCATATATTCATGCCCTACCCCTTTGTCGGGTAATTCCTAGAGGCTCATACCGTACCCCTTTTTTAGGGCTCCTATACTTCTTAAGATAACAGCTCTAACCAAAAAAAGGGGCAGGGTATGAGCCTCCAGGCCTATATACTCTTGATACAAGCAGATCTTAACCTTAAAAATATAGGTACCCCAGAACACCACCAACCGTAAAACCCACGCAGTGGAGCCTTGCCTGTCGTGTCGAAAACCTAAGCCCGAAACTGAGGTAGACTACAACTTCTTTGGTTACCCTGGCTGTGGGCTGCCTCTGGGTCATCTTGGGAGACCTCCAAGGTCGCTACCGCAAAGTTGTGTGTTGATATATATATATATATACACGGTGTATAGACGGATTCCCGAAGGGTGGATCAGGCATAGGATTGAGGGTTTTCAGTCTACATAATTTGAAGGGGCTTTTGGGTTATCTTCCATTCAGATGGGGACCATATGTCGGGAAACGGTTACTAACTGTTCAGACACCTACATGATGTCTTGGGCACATATAAGCTTCTATACCTGGACCAAAATCTTAAAAAAAAAAGATAGGCCCTGGCCAGAGGTGTCACCATGACCTAAACCCCGAGAATAACATTCCTTGGTTCCAAATTGTGAAACCACAAATGCTTACATATATACATATATATATATAAACTCTTGAGGCCAAAACCGCAAACCCTAACTTTCCTCAATCCCTCTTTCGCACTTCAGCCCTGGTTCCTTGTCACATTGTTGTTGAACCCCGCTTTCTTAGGCAAACTGTCTTTTAGTGCACGCCCCAAACCTGCCCAGATCCAAAACCCACCTGAACTTGAGGAGGCCCCACCCTTCAAAACGGCCAAACAAGCTTGGGTTCGCATCAGGCTCAGCAGCAACGAATGTTGATCGCCAGCGACCTATAAGCACTGGGATACCGAATTCAGGGCTTAACTCATATAGTCGGGTTTGGTTATATGTATTTAAGTGGGTATGTATATGTATACGCAGATATTATCATATATATATATATTTATATTTATATATACAGATATACCTGGAGGCTCATACCCTACGACTTTTTAATGATGCCTAGTTTTGATGGTTGGTGTTGTTCAGAACAGTAGATACCCCCCAAAAAGGGCAGGGGAATGAGCCTACGGGTATATCATTATCTTTATGTCCATATATATGTATATATATATACATACGGCTTTATAGAGGATTTACATAACTACAGTGTCCTGGCTTCTATAAATGCTACTGACTCGAGTTTGGTCTGATGCGAGCTACGATCTCTCGGCCAACCTAGCAGCCTTGTAGATTGCAGTGCTTGGGTTCATTCAGGCACACGTTCAGGGTCTATTCGATTAACTATAGAGGCTCATACCCTACCCTTTCTTTATAGGGCACCTATACTTTTCAAGATAACAGATCATAACCATTAAACTAGGTATCCTAATGAAGGACTATAAGATGTGAGCCTCTGGGATATATATATATATAAAGTATATACTGTCCTTTCTAATTACATTGGGTGTTCCAAACTTGGGGGTTTTCCGGGTTTGCTCGGTTTCGGGAAATCTTGTATATATGCGACTTCACGGCTTCGCGAGGCTTCTGTTGTAAGGATTGGGATTAGGGTGTCGGGTTTCAAACAGGGTTTCCAGGAAGTCATGCAGGCTTTCAAAGCAGCATTCGGATCAGATGCTGGCAGTGGCAGAGTAGCCTGACCCCGGAACCCGCAGCCAAGGACTGTACTCGACAGGCCCATGTATATATATATGTAGATACTATATACAGATATACCTGGAGGCTCATACCCTACCACTTTTTAATGATGCCTAGTTTTGATAGTTGGTGTTGTTTAGAACAGTATATAGATAACCCCCCAAAAGGGGAGGGGAATGAGCCTACAGGTATATCATTATCTTTATGTCTATATATATATACATACATATACATATGGTTTTATAGAGGATTTACATAACTACAGTGTCCTGGCTTCTGGGACGGAACCATAATGCTACTGACTCGAGTTTGGTCTGATGCGAGCTACGATCTCTCGGCCAACCTAGCAGCCTTGTAGATTGCAGCGCTTGGGTTCATTCAGGCACACGTTCAGGGTCTATTCGATTAACTAGAGGCTCATACCCTACCCTTTCTTTATAGGGCACCTACTTTTCAAGATAACAGATCCTAACCATTAAACTAGGTATCCTAATGAAGGACTAGGGTATGAGCCTCAGCTGTCCTGAGTCAGTGGTGTCACTGTCAGCAGCCGGGAAGAGAGAGACGAGAGGGAGCTGAATCCTGAGGGTTTTTGCTTGTCGAAGGTACAATCGCTTTCGGACAAAAAATAAGAAAGCTTTTCGGAATGGCCTCGCGACCCAAGGCTAGGTTTTATAACCTACGCACTCTCTGTGTATAGTATATCTTAAATAACGCTAGAACCATGTAAACCCTAAACCTAACCCATATGAAACCCTATTCTAAACCCTAGCCATGTAAACCCTGGCCCTGAACCATTATAGATACCCTCAAAGACACTGTGCCCAGGAAGCTTCACCTTGTACGACAACATGAAGCTCATTCCGCTACGTGTTGCAGGATCAGAGCCTCGCTCTGATTGGTGTACTTCATGTTCGTGGGAGGGTCCAAACCAAAGGCAGGTTGTTTGGAGGTGGGGGGACGGCAGGGGTGGGCTGTGTCAGAGAGGGTAGATGTCAGGGGAGAGGGAGGGAAGGGACACACCACCTCCCGGCCACCCACCGGTCTTTGTGCTGGCTTTGGACCACTCCGCCTCTTCATAAGCCAGCTAGAAGCTCCACCCACCTCACTGGGGTGGGGAAAAGAGAGAGAGGGGCGAGGGAGAGGGAGGGAGGTTTCGAGGGGAGAGAGGAAAGGGAGAGGGAGGCAGAGGGCTGAAACATGTCGTTTTCGGCTCTAACGACCATAGGGAGGGGGATAGGCCTTATAAGAGCGAGAGGGAGAGGCAGAGGGAGAGGGCCAAGGGGGGAGAGGGAGAGAGGGAGAGGAGAGGAGAGGAAAGGAGAGAGAAGGGAGGGACGAGAGGACAAGGTGAGAACACTGTGCACCGAGGACTGGGCAGGATGAGACCCATTGCAGCCGTGATCGATAGAGCTTCTTTACTTATACATCATGCTGCTGCATGGGGAGATTTCACGCGACATCCCGTGACATTTTCACGCGATATCCCGTGATCATTCTCTTTCTAGCCACGAAAGCACACCGAGCAGTCGCGAGATTATCCCGTGATATGAGCGAGATCTCGCGAGAATACGCGAGATCTTGCGTGAACATTATAGCACACCTCCAGCCGCCCAGTTATCATGCGAGTTTGTTCGTTCGAAGCTGGTCGCCGCTAAATAACATCCTGTTGCGGCTAAACGACATTTCGCCTCGCAGGTGTCTCCGATTTCGCTGCCCAGCCCTCTGCGAGCAGTGGTGCTGGCTGAATTACATGGAGTGAGAGCATGCTGGGTCTCTTCGGGCAGACTGTGTGCACATGGTTTCTGAGCAAGTGCATATGCACTCAGCTGCTGCTAGCATTTTGCTTGGAGCATTTTGTGTAGGGTGCTGGGAGTCCGTAGGTCCCAGGCAACCTAGTGTCCTAGACATGCCGAAGGGTGCGACTCGGCTGCGGTTTGTCACAGGGGCGGGTGCTTCTTGGCTTTCGGATGATAGCTTCAGAATCGATTTGCACTGTTGAGGCTAAGCAGGAGGCAGACAAAGCACCCCGTATCAACCTCAAAGACCTCGGCCTGGATCCCAAGCTCTTCTCGCCTTCGAGCGCCGATCTCATCAGCAAGCTGCCGGACACGCCCTCCTCGAGGGCCCTCGTGCTGGACATTGCTCGAGCTGCAGTGAAGCAAGAGCCGAAGAGCTCCTAGGCTCGCATTTTATCGGGAGTGCTACCTACTCATCCAGCTTCTTACCTATTTGGTCCCCAGTAGACCCCTTGGGAAAAAAACCTTAGGCTCCTACACCCTTCTATACTTTGCCGTCGGCTGATCCCAGGGTTTTGGGGTCAATGTTTGGGCCTTGAGATTTGGGGTTCGGGGTTTTTGTCCAATCGAAGAACGGCTTCCTTGGCAACCCCATAAAAACTCTGACACTGGCTTCCTGACCCGAAGCTGCTTTGAAAGGTGCTTGCCAGCTTTGTGTTGCAGACCTCCCTAGGCCCCCATATATACGGGATTGACGATCTTGGGCCTCAGGATTTCTCGCTGGAGGTTCTTCAGTTTTGGGTTTCTATTATAAGGGCTTTGCAGGTTCCTTTGAGGTTCAGGGTGGGGTGATTTACGATGCGGTAGCAAGATCGTAGCAGGTCTCGCATGTCAGGGTGGCTCGTGCAAAGTTCTATAGACCAGGAGTAGGGGTTGCTAGGTCTAGGTGGGCCGGGGAGAACTAGATAAACTGCTAGCTATGTATAAATGCAGATAGCTAGGTAGGTCTTGGTATGCAGGTGTCGGAGGGTCAAATTGTGGGCTGTCGTTGTGGGTGGCTCGGAGTCTATAGGGCTTATTCAGGCCAGGAATTTATATTGGCTATGCCGGTGGTCTACCTACCTATATATACATCTATGTATATCTATATATCCACCTGTTTTACCTATCAAATCTGTGTATGTGTATATACATATATGTATCTATACATATATATATATATATATATCAATATTTGTAGACACACACACACACACCCGGGCCCAGTATATATATATATATATCAGGTGGAGTCCACTTTTTTATACTATCTCATATGCTTGGATTTCTAAGAATGTACACATGCACGGATACACACGTGCCTGCATATGTGTGTCAGTCTTTCTGTCTGCATGCATGCATGCATGGATGGATATAGATGATGATGGAGGTTGATAGATGATGACAGGGTGCACATGCATGCATGTACATATGTGTTCATGTGTGTGTGTGTTCATGTATGTACATATGTATGTGAATATAGTTGTATACGTAAATATATATTATAGAGGCACATACCCTATACCCCTTTACCCCTTCTTTAGATTACCTATATTTTTCTATACGCAGATCCTAAATAAAAAAATAGGTACCCTAAACAAGGGGTCGGGTATGAGCCTCTATGTATATATATATATATACATACATACATACATACATATGTGTATACACACATATATATATATATATATCAACTAATGCCGCCCAGGAGAAGTAGATCTCGACGCCGGCACCGTCGGAGACTGTGGGAGGCGGACTCGCCGCCGGCTGGATGAGGACTTCGCTGGGGTCCAGGAACTCGCACCGACCGAGTTGCAAGTCCTGAAGGAAGCAGATGCCGCAATCAAAGCAGGCATCACAACCGAAGGATTGCTAGAGCACGAGAAGTTCGCAAGAAAGGCTTCTCTCGGAGCCGAGGGTCAGGGCTCTGCCAAGAGATCCAAGCTTTTTGATCTCATGGACAAGAAAAAAGAGATTGAGAGAGAGATCTTTGAACAGCAGCAACAAGAAGCTTTGGAGCAGCAGCTAGCAGAGCAAGTATGTGCAGAGCAGCAACGACAGGAAAAGGAACGGCTTCTTCAGGAACAAGCAGAGCAGGCACGTCTAGAACAGCTACGACAGGAAAAGGAACGACTTCTCAAGGAGCAAGCGGAGCAGGCACGTCTTGAACAGCTACGAGAGGAAAAGGAGCGACTTCTCAAGGAGCAAGCAGAGCAGGCACGTCTAGAGCAGCTACGAGAGGAAAAGGAGCGACTTCTCAAGGAGCAAGCAGAGCAGGCACGTCTAGAACAGCTACGACTCCGGGTGGAACAGGATAGAATCGACAAGGAACGAGCTGAGAAGCTTCGTGCCCGTGCAGGCTTTGTCAGTTCTGTGCAAAAGGCTCTCTTCACGCAGGCCTGGCAGGAGCTCGAAGCAGCATCTGCAGCAGACTCGTTGGATGTTGCACACCGTTTGACGAAAGAGGTGCTAGCCGGTGCGGCTCTTGAGACTGTGGACGTGACAGATACTGAAGCAGCACTGGCTTCGTTTCGAGCCCAGATGAAATCCCGAGTCAGGTTGCATCTGCAGACTACAGACACCCTCCCGCTGAATGGTTCGGATTTCAGCTCCCCTCCGAAAGCAGCCTGCCCTCCCAGTGGACCTGCTAAGATGCCTGGTGCAGACACAATCGACCAGGCCACGAGGCACGAGGAGGCACAACAAATCCCGCAAGCTTGGAACAAGCAAGCTCTAGAGGAGGAGCAAGCAGCACTTCGGAAGCTGCAGCAGTTGAAGGACGATGCTGCTCGGGATGAAGAGGAGCTCTCAAAGCTCCAGGCCAGGATGCAGCAGAGACAGTTGGACTCACAGTCCCAAGCGAAAGCAGCCCTTTTGGCCCGCTCCCGTTCCCAAGCCAGCCTCTCCTCCGAGCGGTCCACAGCGAGCCCCAGTCCGGCACCAGCATCCTCGCTCGCAGCGACCACGACCACGCCAACGACGCCGTCTGAGCCCTCGGCAGCACATGCACGGACCGATACAACGGCTGCCGCTTGATTGTATGCAGGAAACCGGTATTATGTTATGGGTATCGTCAATCACCCCCTCCAATAACTAACCCTATGAGCCTGCCGGGTCCTTTTAGTATATGCCTCACAACAGCTTCTCAGGACATCAGCCCAGAGCAGTTGCAGCAGATGTGCCAAGTTCAGAAGGAGTTGTCGGCCATCAAAATCAACTCTGCGACCCACAAGTTGGAGTGGAATTACCTGTATAGGTTGGTCACCCCCAACTCCAAAGGGCAGCCGAAGTGCGACATCGACATCTACAACAAATGGCACCAGGGTGACTAGATGCAAGTATGTACCGGGGGGATGTGTAATGGTGTTAAACGGTTTGGGGCTTTGTATATGTTCCCTGTATAGGTACAACCCTTAGCCAACCCGGTATAAACTCCGAACCCTTGAACCAAACCCAGTAAACCATCAACCCTGAACCCGAATCTTACTGTTGATGGTCTGGCCCTCCAAAAACCAACAACCCTAAATCCCGAGCTTTGCCGAGGTGGTGCGGCAAAGCAGGAACTGCTGAGGGACTTTGTCTTGAAGTGCTACAAGCCCAACGACTACGAAGGAAACAAGGCCTCTCGACTGAAATTTGGCTTCCTAGGGTTTGTGGCTGCTATGTGCTAACAAGGGAAGTGAACATTGCCTTTGCAGGGACGCCTCGAGACGTTGATGATTTACAGAAGGGAGAAGAGCAAGTCCCAGAAAACCAACTTGATCCGTGGATGGTGCACTGAGTCAGAGATGCGAAAGCTTGGCTGGCCTGAGCTCTTTAGTTCAAGCTAGATCCATTTGTGCACGGCTGAAACCATGTTATAATCCTGCACAGTCTCATAGTGTATGCCTCAGGAACAAGGTGAAAGGGGCCATGCAATACTGCGAGAAGCACCGGCTCACGAAGCAACTCCTCTGATTAAAGCGCCGATCTGCAGTGCATGTTGCAAACAACCCAATCCTTTGGCAAGCTGTCGATCCCAGGCGGTGCAAATACACGAACGAGCTCAAGTTCCTGGTTGAGTTAGAGGACAGAGTAGACGACGAGCTACTTGTTCGCTTAAAGCTCGAAGAGGAAATGTCTGCCATAAACGGCGATTACACAGACGACTGCTTCGCCTTCAGCATCGCCACCGAGGAGGGCGATGAGCCTGCTGCTGGCAAGGAGGGCAACAAGAAGCTGGTGCTGGAGGAGTGGCCCGAGATCATCGAGGACAACTTGATTCTCAGGGTGAAGAAGTACAAGGACCACGCCGTGAAAAGGAAATCCACGTTCAAGGCCACGGAGGACAGGCTTTCCGAGGAGAAGTGTACGGGCCAAGAGAGGCTTGCCTTATCTTATTTTTTTTTGCAAGCAAGAAGCCTTCAAGCATTGTCGCCTCGGATTCTCCGGAGATCACGCCTTGGTGGAGCCATTATATGGCTCATGTGCTGTGGTTCGTAGGACTTTAGCTTGTTTTCTATATGGGTTCGAAGTTATGTTTCACAGCTTTGATGGGGGCAGGCTTGTTCCAATCAGCTACATAGTCAGTATATAATGAGATCCACTCGCGATGTCGCCCGGGAGACCTCAGAATGGGAAATCTATCTTCCTGCACTAGCAGAGGCCTTGTATTCTGCCTTGGGTGTCGAGATTGATGAGTATCAGCTCTACCTAGACATGGAGATGGAAGCTTTGAGGGAGAGCATCATGGAGCTGTATGCCACAATCCCGGAGGAGTACGATACATCTCTGGATTTGCTAAGAGCTGCTGCAGATGTCTTTACGAGTTTGAGGTATCAGACGATCGGCCAGCCCATGATACGAGTCACAACCGGCCTTCGCCCACGCAATCCCAAAGATGAAGTACCACTTCACTTGCAGTACATCAAAAATGGCCTTCATCCAAGTATGCTGTACAACCAAGTCACCGGTACTTTGGATTTCTTCCAGCAGCTCATCGTTCCAGTTGAGCCCCCAAGCAGCCTCAGATGGAAGGACTTATGTCATCTCTGGAAAGAGGTCGTATGTGTCCCCCCAGCTGTTGTGGAGCTCCAAGAGATGGACTGAAGCGGATCGAAAGTGTGGGTGAGCCTTCTGCGAAGTTTTGAGCAGATCTTATGCAAAAGGATGGAGCTGGGTCCGGGGATGGCTAGCTTGCATGTAAAATTTAGCTCAGAACCCCAAAAGCCGAAAGCCGTGGAACTATATAATACCTTATAAAGCTGTATACCCAAAAAACCCTGAAATCACTAATCACAAACCCCGCATAATCCCGCCTCTGTAACATGGGCTTCCGAGGTTTCACTGTTGGGGAAACAGGCTTGCAGACACTTGTAGGTGGCAATGAACTATGACTAGAAACCACAAAGTTATCATACTTGGCCCTTGTATCTTGTTGAGAACCCCTACCATATGCTTTTCATATCCAAGCTATGAACCATGTATGTAGTCTTGCACTAGAGATATACAATGTATATCCAAAGGACATTTCAATATAGTCTAGCGGGAAATAAATGTGCAGAAGACAACTCTGCACGCAACCACGAACGAAGTACCTCTACCCTAAATCCTATATTCCTATATATATTCTCCATTAAACCCAAAGACCCAAGCCCGAGGCTCCACTTCATGCATATAACGGACAGCGAGCCTAGTCATGTCACGAGCCCTCATTCCCCGCACGGTTGAGGGTTAAGCTTAGGCTTAAGGGTTTATCGGGTAGTTTGTTTTTTTGATAAGGGTTCCGGGTCGAGGGTTATGATTTTTTGCAGTGGTAGCAAAAGCCCGGTCTATCTCGAACCCCCTATAAGCCCTGTTTCGAACTATTCCTAATCCCTTCGGCCCAGGAATGACTTCGCCAACCTGAAGAAAGCCCTAGGCTCGCCGATTCCAGTCGTTCACCTCGCCGATTCCAATCGTTGATCTGTCACCTCAGTTGTGTTGTCTTCGCACTCAATACCCCTCTCTGGCAGATGCCATCCTGGAGACCTACAACCTGGTCTGTGCTGTGGAAACCGGTGCTGACAAGAAGAAGCCGCTTGGGAGCAAGAACGATTCGTAAAGTTCTGACTGCATCTCATAGGTTCAGCACACATCCCTGTATTGAGGCCTCAGAGCTATGCCTCGCATTGCTCTTCGCTTCAATCGCAGCCTCTAGCCTGATGTCAATAAAATGCAATGACTTATCATCACGTGTATATAAGGTGCCAAGCCTTCGACAATCATCTTCAAATTGTAAAGCTTCTTGGCTTTATCCACTTTATCCTTTGTGCGATGTTGCTACCCATACGACATGTATTTGCACCGAGGACATACTTCAAGCGGCGAACCGCTGCAAAGAAGGCTCCCAAGCCGAAGGACGAGTCCTAAGGACTATCCGAGTGAACAATTGGTTACCGAACAGTGGCTGATCATGTTGCTAGCTTAGATCCTGTGTGGTGTGAGTGTGAGGGTGTGCAGCGAAGCCTGTTGTATATACTGGGCGATCCGTTCTTATAATCAGGAATATATCTATGTAGCAAACTCCGGCTTGCACAGTGTATACATTAGCTGTATGGTTTTAGGTACTGGCCCCGAGGAGTTTCAGAATCATTCATCCTCTGTGGATTTCGAAAGGATCTCTCGGTATATAGTGCACACTCGGGAGTCGCACGGGTTGCTGGCAAAAGCTGTGCCACTAGTTCACCCAACCCGCCGAGAGTGCTGCTGGGCAAAACCGTTTTGTGCATTGCTTTCGTAAAGAGCATACATAGTGTCTGTGTCCACGTATACATGTACCGAGCCAGGTGGCCGTGACCTCGTGGATGAGGTCGTGGGTACTTTCATCGTGCCTGGGTTTCAGGAAGATTTGTAGTGTTACGATCCGGTGCAGGGTGTTTCCATATAATAGGGTTTAGGGAAAGAAATCTCCAGCCAGAATATCACTCCAAGACTTTGCCTATGTCTCTATAAGCCCTGGCTACTGCAGTATGCAAATATACCCCTGCATATAATAAGCGCCGGAACCCCTCAAACCTCAACTTCTATCTACACCTATGTAAGTTCTTATTGGTGGGATTTCGGTTGCTTCAAGGGTTTATCTGACCAGCTGAGGCTGGCAATGCATCCAAAGCAGTGTCCATTGCAAACACAGCTACAAAGCGAACTGTGTCTGCCTATTTGGAGGGTGAGCAAGAAACCTGGGATTTGAAAAAGATCGCCAAAACCCATGGCACTGGATCCGGAAATCAGTTCCGAGGCCTTGTTCGAGGTTTGGAGCAGATGGGCCGCACGCTCAAGGTTGAAATCGACTACATCGCTGTTCCTTACTACAACCAAGGCATTTGCCAGCACCCCATACTTTCAACTCGAAGCCTGTTTACCTACATGCTTCACAATGGGTGCTCCAAGCTGCTGCTGGGAGGCTACGATATCAAAATGAATGAATCCAGAACTGTTCTTCGGCAATGGTGGGAACGATACAGGGTCTACGATCCCGGTCACCCAGTTTTCGACAGCAAACCGTTGGAGGACACCGTGCCGCTGGCTGTATATGGAGACGAGGGGACCGGTAAACGAAAGCACCCCTGCTACATCCTTGCAACCAAGGCAATGCTCAACTGTCGCAACAACAGCTACTATCGCAACTTCTTGTACACGATCGCAGCCCATGAGCTTTACCGGGGATTTCACAAAGGTTCATCGCAACACAACGAATGTTTGGATGAGATTGTGCGACATTACTCGCTGGCAGCTGGTTCTCTCTTTCGAGAAGGTTACCGGGGTTGCTAGAAGTAAAAATGCACATTTACAAATGCATCAGTACCTATAGCACCCTATAAGCCCTCTACCTATAAGCTTATGTTGTTGACATGTTTCTTTGTAAAAAGTAAACCTTACAAACCCTCAGCCCGGGAACAGCTGAATTATAAGTTTTCTTGGCTGGGGTGGTACTATATATGGGGCTTCTAGGTGGGGTGGCTCCTACTGGGGGTTGTGTATTCAGGGCTTTGGGATATTTAGCATGACCCCTGCAACAGGCATCACTGTGGATGTCAATGGCACGGGCACTGGAGTTCGCACGCTTTACTTCGCTTATGTTGGATGTCTTGGAGATTTGCCTTTTCAGGCCAAGATCTGGAAGCAAGAGCGAAATTTTCAGTGTGCAGCTTGCTGTCCTTTCTGCTTGGCCACACGAGACGATCTTTGGGATGTTTCAGACCAGCCCTCTTGGGCATCGCCAGATGTGCCCGCCCCATGGTTGGAAGATTCAGTTCTTGCCACGATCCCTGGGATGTCAGCTCCTGTTATGGCCCGACATGACATTTTTCACCTTGGACATTTAGGGGTGGCACGCTATTTTTATGCATCCACCCTGGTGCTGCTGTGCCGGAACTTTGGCTTCTGGCCTGGTTCTGCTTCGGACACGTTGGGTTCCAGACTAGCAAATGCATGTGATGATTTTCGCACTTTCTGTCGAGGGGTCGGGCAGACCCCCTTTGTGAAGGAGTTTACAACTACAAACCTCCATACAGCTCAAACTGGTTTCCCCAAATGCAACTTCAAGGCAAGCGACTCTGTGCTCATTATGGACTTCTTGGAAGATTACTTGGATCGACCCTGGAGGTTCGACGACGAAGGGGTCCAGCGCACCATGCTGACAGCGATTATTCAGTACAATGCTTTTCACAGGTGTTGCTGGAAAGCAGACGACAGGAGGTGGCTGAGTCGTGAAGAAGCAACAAAGGCAGCATGCTGCCTGGATGCTTTTATCTCCTGCTACGTCTTGCTGGCGAGGTGGGCCTTCCGAAGGGAAATTTGCCATTATGTGCTGGTTCCAAAGCTACACTTCCTGAAGCACCTGGTGCTGGACATGCAGAAGGATTTAGCAAACCGAGCAGCAACAAAAATCGCCAACCCGGCCATGTTTGCCACGCCGGACGGTGAAGACTTTGTCGGACGGATAGCTAGGCCGGTGCGGGAGCTGCACAGCTCTACTGCATCTTTAGGGCGACTGCAAATCTATAGAGCAGAAATGCTACAAGAATGGGCAGGGAATGGCTAGCAACATTATAGTCAATATATGTAGATATGCTTATAGGTCAGAAAACGAGCCATTCGTGCCGAGCCGCATAGCTTTCGTCAGCGAGGATCGCCGCCGGCATGGACAAAGCTTTTAGGGATTCCAGGGGTTGAAGGTTATATACTGGGTGTGAAAGGGTTAAGGGCTTCGATTTCAGAACTTGTGACTTGGACTTCGGGGTTTTGTCGCCTACAAGTTTCAAGTCGGGTCCTGGGGTTGAGAGTCTCGGAGGGAAGGGGTTCAGAGCTGAAACCCAATACCCATAGACCCCAAACCCTAAACATAAACCCTGTATAACCCTAAACCCCTCAGATCCCAAGAGCCAAAAAGTTGGTCACACAAGAATAATTGGTCATGGCCCCGAAACCAAAAATAGGGAGATGGTATGACCCTACAGGCATTGT